TTTCCCAGGTGTTCACGCACAGCAAACTGCACAGCAACTTGTAAACCAAACTGCTATTGAAAATGCAGCCTTCAATTCCTATTCCAATTGCATGTGAAAGTATTAACTGATTCTCAGCTTGGCCCCTTGAGATTTTATTATGAGCAGAAGTTCTGTCAGAGAAAGGAAAGCAGGACTGTACTCATCACCTGGGTATAACAGGCCAAACCACCAGCCGACAGACCCTGAGAGGGCAGTTAATGGACTTATATAATGAATGAGCTGAGTCAATAACCAAATATCTACCTGGCTTTAGGAGGAGAACACAATTTTAATCCACCTTATTCTGAAAGATCTGAAAGTTTGTACATCCTCACTGAGGATAATACTAATAATACTGAGTTGTCAAATTTGTAATGACAAATTAACATTGAATTAAATGTAATGTCAAATTAAAAGTAACACGACTTCACAGATTAAGAGTATTTGCATTTTTCCCATTCAAATGCCCAATTACCTATCATTTATACTGAAAAATTCAACAGGCCATTGAACCTAAAAATCTCTTTTGTTAGAAACAGAATCCTGACCTGAATTCACTACTTTGGCCAAGTGCTTTAAGGCTTATCAGAAAGGGGGAGTAGCAATAGAAGCCTGTAGCAAGATGAGGGATGAGCAACCCCCCAGTCTGCACAGTGATTATCTTCTTTTCTCACTGCATGGCCACAGCTGTTCTCCTTACACTGATTACACTTCAGGAGATGAGTATTGCACTCATACAAATGTCATTGAATTCAACATTTGCATAAATCTGCAAAATAGATGGTAAGATTAAGAGAATGAATTAAAAATACCCACAAGCACACACATACACATGCACAAGAAGAGCACACAGCCCAAATACCCACTGGAATAAGCAGGATGTTTACCATACAAACACTGCAATAGCTGGCTCAATTTTTCCCAAGTAGAACATTTCTATTACAGGAATTTAACCCATGGAAATACATAATTAGCTCTTTCTCCTTAAAGCTGCTGAAATAATGATTTGCTTAAGAAGATTAGTCCATTTAGTACTCAATAGAAGCACTGACAAATGAGCCTAAAATGATTATAGAGGAACTCTGGTAACACCATCTTCTGATCCCTTTTATTTAAAACAACATTCCTTTCAGTAAAAAACCTTTGAATCTGATCTTCTGCATTTTTTTCAAATAGCATATCAACTTTTAATATTTTATGTATTGAAATCCCATGTGTGAAACTGATGCCACTAAAGAAGTCCACAGCAGTCCGTGAAAATAAAGCTTCAGTGCTAATTTTCTCTGGTCACTGTGAGCCCCCGCAGCCTCCTGTGTGCACTATAGCGCGTTACCATCTCAGTGGGGACAGGACGACTCTTCTTGAGCCCTGCTGCACCAAAAAGATTTGCGTTACAAAGAATTCTCCATTAGAGGGATACTTATAAGGGCAGGTGCAAAAGAGAAGAGGTGATATTGAAAAGCAAAGGCAGGAACAAGGCAGTCTTACATGGGGAGGTGGCGGGGAAATGGACTTTAAAACATTTTGGGTGCATACCATAAACCTGAGGTATAAACACTGTCACGGAGCACATTCTGTAGCTATTTCTTGCATGACAGTCCGTTTTCCCATATAAAAGCTAAGGGCCAAATTTTGAATTACTTCTATGGACTTACAGAATAATCCTCTTATTTAAGGCAGTGAATTATCTGGATCCTTCGCTGGTACAGTTTTATACCAGCACTGAAAGCCGGGGAATTATATTTTTCCACAAATTGCACAAATAAACTATTTATCATCCTTGGAAGATTTATTTTGCTCAGTTGCTAGCAAGAACTGAAAGACCGAGGTCATAAACAAAACTCCATATATATTATTAATCCTCCTCAGTAAAATCAAGCAGACTTTTCCAGTTTACTTCTAAGCCATACTGCCATCTGCAGACTGAATAACCCCTTGCAATATTCAGTGTAAGGCCATAGGCTGAAATTAGACTAGAGATCCCAGGGGGCCTCTAGCAAAACCTGGAGGGTCACCCCTGAAGACAGACCAATTTACTCAGGGCTTTATTTGGTCGGGTCTTGAACACTTTCGAGGATGGAGACTGCACAACCTCTCTGGGAAACCTGTTCTAATGCCTGGCTCTCCTCAGGTGAAAAAACAACAACAAAAAATCCTTACAGTCTGAAATGCTCTCATTTCAGTTTATGTCCATTGCCTCTTGTTCTCCTGCCGAGCACCACTCAGAAGAGTCTGGCTCCATCTTCTTGATAACCTCCCCATTCGTCCTGGCAGGTCACTAATAAATTCCCCAGCTGCGTCTTTTCCAGGCTGAACGATCCCTGGTCCTGCAAGTGCTCCAGCCCTGGAGCAGCTTTGCTGAACTTGACCCAGTTTAGTGGCGTCCTTCTTGCACCATGGGTCCAAAATCAGATGCAATGGCCAAACACCTACAAGTGTGAGGATCACAGGATAAGCACATCCCGCTACCTCCTGGTGGAACCGAGCCCAGGGGAGATCCTCAGGGCTCTGCTTGCTCCCAGGTGCAGTGTGACCCGTCAACCACTCTCAAGAGTCCCACCATCCAACCACCTTTTTCACCCATCTGCTTGTCTCTACACCCAGATCATTAACACCTTAACCTGAGCACAAGAATACTATCAGAGGTACTGTCAGAAGCCTAAAGGTGAGGTAAATGACATTCACTGATACCATGGCATGCACAGGTCTGCTTGGTTTATCACAGGAGGCAACCAGGCTAGCTAATCTTCCATTTCTTCCCCGAAATACATAATGAGTATTTTTTTTTTCAATTAACAAGTATATATGAATGTGTCTTCTAGGGATGACTCCATCCAAATTTATCACTACAAGGCTTTACAGCAATAGGCACAGAGTCTGCATCCAGGCAATAATAAAACAATTTTTTTTTATTTAAAAATGCTTTGATATTCATGCAAGTTGCATACCCACACTGGGACTGGAGGCATTCACTGGAATAGGTGCTATCTAAAAGCCAGGCACCGATTAACCCTGGGCCTGTTATGTGTCACTGCTGCTTCAGGATAACGGAAACACGATCAATCCTTGGCACCTCAGTACTGCAATGCTCCACATGGACAGCTGTAGGCTTGGAATCTTGTTGCTTCTTGTTCTTGATCAGTACTCAGTATGAACCAGCTTTTAGGAAATGATAATAAAAGAAAGAATATGTTTGTTTGCTGCAAACATTCTTCCAGGCTGTAATCAAAGAATAATTATGGTTGCAAAAGACCTTCAAGATCATCGAGTCCAACCGTAAAGATGATGATGCAAATGGAAAATCGATGTTTGCAACCCATTCAAACTTTATTAAGCCAGCCTGACATTACATGTAGTTCTGTAATACTTACTCCAATGCATCCAAGACACATTTAGTTTGGATTTTTTTTTTTTTGAATTTGGATCTTGGTTCTTTTTTTTCCTATCACTATGAATCTCAATTTTACTAATCTTCCTTCTGCTTGAAACTATGATTCTCTCTTCTTTTGTTGGCACTGTACATAGAATAGAGTGATTAGTATAATATTCCTACAATATTTCATTATTTGGAATCTTAAAATTCACATTTCATTATTTCTCTCAGACAGACAGTTGCATAACATGAAGGATCGAGGTCAAATGATATATGAAGAGATGCTTTTGATTCATTCAGGTGGTTGTCTTCAATTCTGACTCCTTTTTCACTGTCTTCCAAAAAATATGTCAGATTTTGAACATTTTTCAGAATGGGTCTATAGCATCCAGGTATATTCAGCTGTAATGGAGACACTCTGAATTTGCAGTTTTGCAGCTCATCCTTAGAAAGCCTTTCATGGTACCATTGCCCAACTTGATTACTAGGATACTTGATACTATGTCCTACCACTGGGAGAACCACCTTCAAAGAAGAGAAGAGCAAAAAAGAAACATATTTAAAAAAAATCCACAAGTGTCTCTTTAAATAAATGTGGTTACAATTTTAAAGGGGTTCAATTCTTGTGTTTAAGGGCCTGAAACGATAGCTTCTCTTGCTCACTATAAAACAAAGCTGTGCAAGGCAGGTATCTCGGATGTAATTTAAATGAAAAGCATGCAAAACAAACAGTATATCAGCACTTTGGTAACAAATTAGGAATATACTAACATTAATTGGCTTGCTTGCTGGGGAAGAAAAAGAGCTAAAAAACATCCAATTGCCTTTGCAAGACTCCACAACACACTCTAAACTTTCAAAAATTAGAATATCAACTATTTCTGAATGTTTTTCCCAGAAGTAGACAAAAAAAGTTTTCAAGGAAGCTGCTTCAAAACAAATATTGCCCATATACTGAAAAAATGAGTGTGTGTATTTCCAGTGGAAAGTAAATAACTTGCCTTCTGTTTGAGATTGGGATTAGGTTGCACGTGTGTTTACTTTAATGTGCATTCTACTGAGAAATAAGACTGCACCAGTTAACTTAATCACAGTATTTTAGAAACAAAATATTTTAATCAAATAAAGAAATCAAATACTCAGATTTCTTCATAGAGACAACTTACTTGATGTATGGAATACTTGTTAGCTGACTCTTCTGAAGCGGTGACTATATGAACCTGACAGAGATTTAAGAAGTTGTTAAAATATCGCTTATTCTTTTATAAAACATACATATTTTATTAGGGAGGAGGGAAGATCTCAGATCCCAGGAGGAGCATCAGCTAACATACAGGCTAAGTTATTTACTACATATATATCAATTCTGCCATGTTCCTTCTCCTCTCATGAATAAAATGAATGGTCAGGATAGATAAGAACTATTAATATATATATGGCATATGTGTCTATTTGTGGTAAATCAAAAAAGCTACATCACTTTTTTCTCCTTAGTCACAAATAATAACTATTATGAAATAAAATAACAGTATTAGAATATTGTCTGATATATGCTAATGTATTAAAATGTATTAAGTCATCTGGTACAAGAACTATTTTGTAAAGACTCACTTTGTCATTCACGGAAAAGCTTTCATCACTCTCCTCAGAGATGACTAGATCACCCTCAACAACCTTTGAACCGTAAGTGCTCAGCCTATACGATGCTGCTTCATTCCAAATTTTACTGCAATACGCGTGGACATAGAATATGCGCATGGCATGAGGAATGCTGAGCCACCCTTTGGCACAACCCTCATGGTTCACGCCATAGCGATTCAGAGCCCGTAGTATCATCTTCTCCCTCACTTTAAACTCCGGCAGCATTGCGAGCGTGCCCTTGGCATCCTCTGAGATAAACGAAAGCAACCACATGAGTAATCAGTAATTCATGAAATGTTACTGTCAGGAAAAAAATACACTTAAGAAAATGAAATCAGGAAAAAAATAAAGTATTAATCTCTCCATGCTGACTCTTAGGTTATTAATCCCTTCCCTTCCATGTGTTATGACACAGAAAAGCCACCTTAAACGCCTAGCAACATATTCCCATAAATTCTGTTCTCTGTATTTCACACAGTATATAATAAACTAGCTGCCATTCAGTTAATTGTAAGTTTGCAATTTCTTAGAAACACGGTGCATTACTCCAAAGAGTTACTTGAAGTTAAATATTTTATATCATCTCAGAACAAGTGTTAAGGGGCAAAATAGGGGCAAATAAATGAATCTGTTTTATAAGTAGAAACGGCATTGGCCACTGGCAATTCTGAGCTCCAATCTAAGTGAAAATATATAAAATTATGTCTTGCATAATTTTCCTTCATAATTTTTCTCAATGAGAGTAAATATCTGAAGGAGCCATTTGTGTAACCTTTTACTCCTTGTTTTCAGGAGAAGCCAAGCAGCATTTACAGAGTCTATATCTATTTCTTTTCACGCATCATGCAGCAGTGTACAGCACAGAGTGATTCATCTTATCTCTTCTGTGAAACGAAATGTTTCTCTTGAAATTGAGCATCATAGCTGTTCTATCAAGGTACAGTGATAAGCAGGCTCACAGACGTGGAAGATTTGAAAAGAACAATACATTCAAAGCCAAAAGCAATTCCAAGGTATTTAGAACACTATGCTGAATGACAGCGACAATAAATATGACAAACGGCATTTTATTCAGAAGGCACACTCCTGTCCTTGGCATTTTCATTGGACTTACTTCAAGACTGAAAAAGGTAGATTACAAGAAAGCATAGAAGAAAATACAGAATTAAATTAAACATAAAAGTGAAGTCCAAAGGTGTAAAAACAGGAGCTAAGATTTTTATAGACATCTCAGAAAATTAGATGCTGAAACATGATTGGGACGGAATATAAGTTGAGTTTCTTATTGTTCTTTTTAATTGCAGAAAAGAACTTTATATTTCAAAAGGAAACAGATGGAACGAGGCTAAAATCACTTTGATATTAATCTCTTCAAGTATGAAGTAAAGCCTTTGCTTCTGCACCATCTTGTACCTGAAATATGTTATTTTCTATTATTTTGCACATTAAGACCTGATTCTCATTTCATTTTTAACAGTGTAACTCTTCTGAGTTCAATGGAACAGCTGTAACTGATACAAAGCACTAGCCAGACAAAAAGCCCTTCTCTGTGCAGCAATATCGTAGTTCCTCCCAAAATATCCACTCTCAATAAATATATAGGAAACTTATAACTGGACTTACCAGTCTGAAGAAAGTATCTTTTTGCCGTGTTTACGGGGTCATCGTTATCTTCAGGTGTGAAGAACAACCTTAGAGCTTCCACCTTTAAGCATCAACAATTCAGATTTTTAAGTTTTAGAAAACAGAAAATCACACATCTCTTTTTGTCTTATCATATTCTGCAACCTCTCAAAATTTGATCAGTTCTTTAAGGACTAAACCAAATGCTCCCTTTCACAGAAGATGTCCTGGACAGCAAACCACTGTGGCTGCTGCTTCTTAAATTAAAGAAAGGTTTATAGCTACACAGAAGGCATAAAAATGCTTTCACAGCCCTACAAGGAATCACTAACTCTTCTTTTAGAATCTAGTCAGAACACACTTTGCAAATGCTATGATGTAGACCCTGAGTAGAAATGTTCTTTCCCCTTTATCCCTCCAACATGTTTCATGCAGGATTTTCATCGACTGCTTTCTAGTCTCCCAGGCAAACAACCTTTATTTTTAATACTGACCTGTATTAGATAAGATAGTGTTTTCTCTGTCACAGTATCTTAGCCTTCATTGCTTGCACCGCCAGTGCAGTCGAACAATTCCCTAACGTATAAAACTACCTGTCCCTGACTCTTTCTGTTGATCAGTTTTATTAACTTTTTATAGATGGATTGCTCAGTATAGTACATTGCACAAGAAGTGCATATTTGTGCAAATTTAATATAAATAAGAGTTTTTACGAGTTTTTAATATAAATGTAGCTGAATTAAAACTAGAGATTTATTACTCTACAAGGATTGACACATGGTGTTAACGTCCAACATATGAGAATTCAAAATGTCAGATAGGCCAACATTTACTTTTGTGGGTTGCCCTCTAACCTTGATTCTTCTTGTATTTGGAAAATTAATTTTTATGACTTTTCTCAGAATCAGAACAAGATGAGGAGAGCAGGATACCCCAGCATTCATCTGACTCAAGGGGGCCTTACTGTTTTAAACCTGTGCTAAATACTATACCACATGCATTGCAAAGTATATGACTCATCTTAGGGATTATTACTATACAGATACATTCTCCTTAGATTACAACAGAAATAGTTTTTCAGCATTAAGTGTTAGGGTAAGTGACCAAGGAATAATGAAAAGTAGCAACTTATACAACAGATAAATTATTTTTGGTTTTGAAAAAGCAGATCCTTTCAATTGATCTTGTGTACTGTGGCATTTAAGTGAGCAATGTATATAGAGCCCCACCAGGATAAATGAGTTACAAGATAAGAGACATTCAGGACCACTAATAAAAACTGTACAAAGATAGCACCACGTTGTGTTCAACCTTTGCACTGAATGGAGCCACTTGATTTTTTTAGCATTAAGATTTTGATGCATAGGATGCTTTCAAAACTGATCTGGTAATTACCTTCAGGACATATAGGAGTTTATGCCTCAAATGAAATTATTCATTGGGGCAGTCCACTCCTAAACTAGACTCAGACATTGCAACAGTAATATGAAATGAAGTTGCAGTTACTACTAGATTACAAAATGCAAATACCATTTTTTCATTCAGTAAAGCCAATCCTATTTGATCTGTCTGAACATTTTGTCCCTGTCCAAATCGTTGAGGTCCATAGTAATTTACAAAACCTTTTGCCTGTAATTAAAAAGAATAAATATGTTAAAAGCATCAAAGTACCAGGTATTAATAAGCCAACTAAGCACACAACATACATACAGCAGCTACATTTATATTCAAAATGCACACAAAGTGTTTTTAATTAGGAATTCCAATAATAAAATGAATTTTCAGGAATTTTCTATACTACATTTCAGGTGCTTATCTTTTGCGCAATTGGTATTTTCACTCAATTTTTACTTCTGGACTAATCCTCTTAAAGTAACCCGTATTATGGTCATTAATTAGGAAGAAAGAGGAAGATCATTGCTGCTGTAACAAAGCTTTTCCTTTTCACAATTTTATCTTATTTTTCTCCAAAACTTTGGATTGCTTGATGATAGGTTTTTCTTTAGATACTCTGAATAACGGTAGTTAAAATGCACTCACTTTTAAGGGATTTTATTTCTCTGCTACTGGCATTTCACATGTATTTATGTTATGAAAATACTCATGCTTTCACATGAAATAACCATGTATTTTCTTCATGTGACCAACAAAGGCAACCAGCTAACATATATAACTTGCAACTGTACTTCTTCACTTTGTCATCTACCAATAAAAGTGAACTGCATCACCTTGGTTGTCCTCAGGTCTGTGCAATGATACTTCATACATTCATACTCATTTGCTACCAAATTTCCTATTTGTCATGCTGCACAGTTCTGGGGTCTGAAATCCATAATATGGAATAAATTTACTATGGACCCTCTCTGGAAGGAAACTTTACTCTTGGTCTCTTGAATAATACAGAAAGGCCATAAAATAGTAAAAAACATCAAAAACAAATGAAATATTGCCATTTTTATGCCATTATTAGAACTTTTTCTTTTAAGGATTACAAATCTGTTCTTTATTGACAAGCACAAGTATTTTTACCTCAACTTTTTCTATTGCTTCAGATATTCTCTCTTTCAAATCTGCAGAAGTGTCATAACTGTGATGTTTTAGATCTCTCACAATTATATCAAAGTGATTTCCTTTCAGCTGACCAAGCCTAAGGTGCTGACTTGCTGAATGTATGTTTTGTATTCTCATTCCCTTCTTTTCTATTTTGCTTCCGATTTCTTTCAACCTGCACAAATAATTAGGAGAAATTATGCTCCATCCTCTACTAAAGCAATAAAACTTCTAATAGTCTTCCTCATTTTTTGCACTAGAATGATAAGCACTTGAGGAAAATTAAAATAGACCATTATGAGAAAAAACAAATCAAATGCACTTACAGAGTTTTCATATTTTTTTCAAAATATGAAATCTTATATTGTCTGGGACAGTATTCTTCCAATTCACAATTATACAGCCAAATTTACAGTTTCTTTAACGGCATCTATTAACCAGAAACAAGAAGGAACCCACATTTCATGACACGTTTACATACCCTAAAATTATTACCTAGTAGTTTACAGGCAACAGCTTAAGACCTTTATATAGAGACAGAGCTACAAAACTAAACTATGACAAATGTACATTCGACAGATCCACTTGTACTCCATCTTAGAAACATGAGACTAAGTAAAGAAGAGATCACTGAAACTGAGTGCAGAAAATAAATACATTCTAATCAACATTTCAACAAGACAAGACACCTTTTCATTCCCTGTTTTTGCTGCTCTGTACACAGTTCAGTGGTTTAAAAACAAAAACCAACCAACCAACCAAAAAAACTCTGCCTGTTTATCCCTGCTTATCAGCCTTACCTTTCCACTCATTTTTAGTCTGGCCAACAAACAAGATCATATACTTTGCAAATAAAGGAAGGTAGAATGCATATTTTTTGAATTTGATACTACCATAAATTTATATCAACTGTAAGCTCCTACTATAAATTGGACTCAAAAGCCTATTGATCAAGAAAAAAAAAAAGCAAAACTTTTCATGAATGCTTAAATGTTTAAACAAAATAATTAAATACTTATGAACCACTATCTTAGCATAAAGATAGCATTTTCTATAAATTAATAAAGTATTGTTTAGATGCAATATTTTATACAGAAATTTTTCCTCAATTTAAATGACTATTACTTATAGGAACAAAGAGATTAAGTGGATAATTTAAAGGGCAAATATTTGAACTGTCAGCTGTGTTTCCAATTACGAGCATACCCATGCGAGCATATCCAAGGAGAATCAATGCTCTGAGTTTGTTTTTTTTAAGGATGTCCAAGAAAGTAACTGTGTTTCATAGACTGCTAGGGCAGAGGCATTACTTTTCTAAAATTAAAAACAAGACTTTCTGGAATGAACAATAAATTATTTGTTTTTCCATAAAAAATTAAAAAAAAAAATCTTGCCTTGACAATGTCCAAACAATTGCTTCATTCCAATACCTGTCAAGCTAAGGATATAAGTACAAATTAGGCAAGCATTTAAAAAGTATTATTTCTGGAATACAACAGATACTTTAAGTACTAGTAGACTGTCATCTTTCTGAAATCAATACATTACTTTGCTGGAAAAGAGACTATTTAGATACCAATACTGCATAAATTCATTTTATGATACTGTTTACTACATGTCACCTTACAAAACTGTAGCCTGACCCTTGTCCTTGAGGTGACACGAGAGACAAGAGAATGCATTTCTGAATCCATGGGGCTCCCAGTTTCAAGCACAACGTCGCTACAATTAACAACAAAGTTTCAGTGCTCTAATGTTTTAATGATAGATAGATAGATATGTGTGTGTGTGTACTTACATGAATTATATTGTCGTACATATATTTCATATATATAATCATAATTTCATACTTCTGTAACTGAAACAGGAATGTCTTTTCTTGAAGAGCACTTTTAAAGTTCATTAGTTATTCCCTCTGAGAGATTACAGTATTTTTTGTCACTATGACACACTACAAGTGCCCCAAATTGCAGCATTTCTTTCACGTTGCCGTGCTAGTCCTGCTCAGAGGAGGAATTCTGTCCTCCCTTTTACACCCACCACAACTCTTTATGCCAGCCTTAGTGTTAGAATCAACAGAAGAAAGTTAAAATCATGGTATCTTTTCTCTTGGGCTCCCTCCTAGTACATGCCTGCTGGGATGCAGCAGAACTTTCTTTAGGTCGGTACTTGAGGATACACTACAGCTTACGAGGATCAACACCCTGTCCTCTTACTGTAGCACGTAGGAGAACTTGCTGTTTTGTGAAGAAATCCAAACTGAAGAGAGCCCACAGGAGTGTATGCAGACCATATATCTATTCTGTGATTTCTTTTGAAGTGAGCAGTAGCAGTCTGTTTTTCAAAATCTTTGTCACCTCTCAAGGCAACACACAGCTCTTTTCTTTCAGTCACATGGCGAGTTCAAATAGTGGATGGTTCCTCCCAGCCAATTCAGACTTGGAAAGGTTAAGATGTTGGAGTAAGCAAAAAGTGGATGCTGACAGTTATGGGCTCTTGAACCTTCCCATGCCCTAATAACTAACTCATTTTCATCATGAACGAGCAATATATTATTTCAAATTGTAAAATTTTGTACCATTATCATTTAGTCCATCAAAAAGGAAACAGAATCTCCCTAAAATGGAGTGGTAAAAGCCTTCTTTAAATGCTGAGGCACCCCTCTACTAAACTGCATATTCCCTAAACCCCAGATACATTAAATGGCAGAGCAGCTGTTGCTGCTGAGCTCTAGTATGGGAAGACATTGTAATAAGAACATTTAATTAGATCCTTCTATACCTATTTATGCATAAAAATATGCCCTATAGTGAATACTCCTAGATTATTAGTACCTCTCAGGAGTCACCTTCTTCACAACCATAGGCTGGTAAGTAATAGCCTTCTTATCTTTGATGCCCGTGTAACTGAAGTCCGAAGCAAGGATGCCAAGTTCAGAAGCCAAGAAACCGATTGCTTCTAGCGTCTCCAGATTTTCTTTCTGAAGGGTGAAAGCTGAAACAATCATCTCAGAATTATTACAAATATACACTTCTAAATTACCCAGGCGCCCTGTTCTGAGGGCCAGTGTTTTTCCCTCAAAGTTTAAGACGATGGAAACTACAGAGAAACTGTGTCTTCCCACCCTGTTTCCTCTCTTACACCCCCCAAATAAATAAGACTTCTTCAGCACAGACAATAAATGAAACTCTTACACTTACCAGAAATGATATGTCTTTAAAAACAGTACTTGATAAAATGCAATTCAGTGCTACAATTTATGTAACATGTGTTGACTTTAAAGCTAGAAACATTCCATGTATCAGAAATGAACCACTTTAAGAAAAGAGATCGTAAATCAGATCTGACTTTTACCAAGCTGTCCAACATCTAAAAACATCTCCTAAAATCCCCTACTTACTTTCAAAGGAAAATGAGCATACATAGAGTAACATAGAGCAAGCTGAAAGAATTGCAACCATTCCCACTGAACAGCTTTTGGAAATCACTGCAGGAACTTTGTTCACCTATCTCATACTTACTTTCCAGTGATGCTGCTTCGCTGAATTAATAGCAGTTTATTTGGGCAAAAACAGTGACCCAGGCCCATGTATCATAGAAAAAACGATTCTGAGGCTCAGTCTTACAAAAGAACAACATAGTAGTTGAATATTTCATTAAAAACCTACTATTTACCTGTGTAAAGTTCTTGATTTTCCTGTAAACCACCACTAGGCCTTTTTTTGGACCAACTTCTTTCTCTAAATCTTACTATTATTGACATATTTGGCTGATCATTGACATTTGTCATGGTGAAAGACTTTGTTTCTAAGAGTTTTCCAAATTTTCTATTGATAAAGTGATGAATTGCTTTTCTGTGCTCTTTGTTCCCATCAGGCTCAAAGGAAAATGTGGAGTTCTCCAGCTTTGTGTCTAAAAATTTAAAGAAATCATTCGCCTCCTTTTCACTCACTAACTGACAGAGTTCTTTGTAATCAGCATTTCCTCGCACAGTCATTTCACTGTCTTTCGTGACAGTGACCAAGAAGGGGAATTCCTGTCTGATGGCACTGTGTAAAGCAGCTCGGTTCTTCTTGTCCAGGACAGGTCCCAGCGAGAACTCACGAGTGCTGCCATCGGACACATTTCCCGAGCCCCACGCAGCCTGCAGCTCACAAGCAAACTTATTAAGCAGCTCGCTCAGGGGCTTTCCTAGCAGGGAATCCAATACGTTGGCTTCCCCGGAGCTAAGGGAGGGCTCAGGGTCGCTCCCACAGCACTGCGTGCTCAGGGATGCCAAGCAGCACCCAGCCTGCGCCGGGCTGGGCTCGGGAGGCAGCGGCAAGGCGGCAGGGCCGGCGCAGGGAGCACCAGGGCCCGCTCTCAGCTTTTTGGGCTGCTGCGGGCACCAGCGGCCTTGCGCCGAGGGCGCTTCGCTGGGTTTCTGGGGAGACTCGGCACGGCCACCGCCGGGCGCCGGCTCGGGCGCCTCGATCTCCGTCACCACGAAGTCGCTGGGCGCGTTTTTTATGGTGCCGCGGAAGCCGAGGTGATCGGTCACGTAAGCGAAGGAAGGGAGCATGGCCCCGCGGGGACCATCCGACCTGGAAGGAAAAAAAGAAAAAAGAAAGAAAAATAGGACAGACTACGAATTACTACGGAAGGGCCGCTCGGGAGGGGCCGTTACGGGAGCCGTTAACGGCTCCCCCCCCGGGGGGGGGGGGGGGGGGGAGGAATACGTGCTCCTTTTATGTCCCCCTTCTCAAAGAGTCCTCCCACTTTCTTGAAGTTTTCTGGTACGTGTTACCTGCTGTGTGCTTTTGGTGTTACCCGATTCAAATGCAAATTGCTCTGGTGGGCACTGCTGAGAATGTCATTGTTCAGGTCTCGAGCTGATCTTCTCAGAGACAGCATGCCGACCCCAAGTAGATAGCTGATATTACAGTGTTCCCAGAGATAAGATGCCAGGGTGGGCCCGATGCTGGGGAGGGGGGGTCGGGCCCAACTGTTACGCTCAGGGCGGGAGGGGGGCTCGTAGCGACCCCTTCCACCCCCCTCCACCCTCTCCCTTCCCGGCAACGTTTTCAACGTTACTGAAAAGTTTGGCTGTGTTTCCCCAAGGACCTGGAGATGAGCAAGCGCGTCACGGCCTCGACGTATGTGCGCTGCCTTGGCTATGGGTTGGTGAGGCAGCTGGCGGACTTCATGGATCCCCAGGAAGGGTGGAAGCGGTTGGCCGTGGATATAAGGGAGCCGTCTGGAGAAAGCAGATACAACCAAATGCACATCAGGTCTGATGTGGAAGTCATTGTTGCACAGCCGTGTTAAGTGTTTAGCATAAATGTCACTGCCTTCATGTTGCAACTTCTTGCCATCTGTGTGCCTGTAAATGCTCTTACGCCTGACCTTAGAGCCTCTTTCATTAGTGAGCTCAAAACTGAGTCCTAATTGTGCTATAGTTTAGTTTTTCAGATAAGCCAGACACAAGGCCAAGGACATTAGAATTAATGAGAGCTCTAGTAATAAATATTTTTAGTTAGGCACTGGCTGGGTAACTTTGTGTATCAGGGGCTTAAAGACACTGATCTCACTGAGCACTTCTAGGCAACAGGAAAGACTGGGCAATAACATTTGACTCTCAGAAGGCATGTTCCCCTCCTCCCAAATAAATAAATAATCCAAATCTCAGAAATGTAGGGAGCCTGAGGCCAGAATTTAGCATGTTCAAATGAAGCAGCATGTTAGCAGCGTTTTGTTAACCTTTGTTGCTTGAAGACTTTATTGGATCTTCAAGCTGTGTTATGTGATTTGAGCAGTGATCTTGGATTTACAACCTTCCTCGTGATCTTAGCATTAAGTTTTCATTTGCTATCATTTCTGGAATAATAATGAATCCATCAGAATAATAGATCTTAGTTTCTTGCTGATTGTTGCTCAAAATGAAATGTGAAGGCTCAATAGGAGAAAAATAATTATTTTTCATTTGTTCCCTTATACATGGGAGGGCACAAGTGTTAGACCTGTATGCAGATGTAGTGTGTCTAAAAAATACAGAAACCTCATTGATGATGATGATGTCAAATGCTGATGCATATCTTACCTGAGTTTAAATCTCTTTTATTGTTGTTTTATTGTTGGTGTTTTTAACCTGTCTTTTCAAATAGTCTATGTTTTGAAGATATGTTTGAATATAATCTTCTTCAGGAGATTTGAGGCACTTATACAAATGGGAAAGAGCCCTACCTGTGAATTACTGTATGACTGGGGAACAACCAACTGTACAGTTGGTGACCTTGTGGATCTGCTGATTAGGAATCAGTTCCTAGCACCAGCAAGACTTTTGCTTCCAGGTTAGTGCTATCCAGCTATACTTTGTACTGTGTTTTCAATTTTCTAAGATGTTAAACAGCTTCATGGTAGATTGAAAATCATGAAGAATTAGCTCCAAATGACCAATGTGGTTGTATTTTCCATTAGACATAATAAATTTAATTACAACTTTATATAAATTGTTTAGTGTTCCAAGTTTAAATAGAGTTCTGTACATACATGCAGAATAAAATATTTATTGAAGCTTGTATGTTTCCTAAATTAAATAAATGTTGGCATTAACTATATTAGGAATCAAAAAAAATAACACTTTTTAAAAATTCCGTTTTCAGAAGCTGTAAGGATGGGAGAAGAAGTTCCATTACCTCTTTCTTCCCAAGAAAACTTGCCTGCACATGAGAAACAACTGCCTGAGAAACAATTGCCTATACAGGAAAAGCAAGTGGCATCTGTAATGCCGCTTTTAGCTCCAGATACTGAGAAACAACCTTCAGCTCCTTCTTACTTGAGTCAAGAGAATAGCAGCTCCCAGTCTAGCAACAGAGGTAGGTGCAGAGGTGAAATTGAAGTATGATCTCTTTTGCTGATGTGGTGACAATTCCATGTGAAATTCATAGTAAAATGTTAGGGCAACAAGTATTTTGCTGAAACTGTGCCTCCATGTATAGAGCATCGCTGTTTGTGCCGTTCTGTGTGACTATGAATGTGGCCAGTGGCAAGACAAGTCAGAGAGATGTACCTGGCCACTAAGAAGGCTACTGTGATTAAATACTTGTGTATTAGTTAAGTTGTAGCTTATTTTGTGCTGCACCCAATCCTGTTGCCTTCTTTCAGTACTGATTTTGTGGACTGTTCAGCATCGTGTGCTTAAAGGTGGATCTCAGGCTAAGAAGCCTGTAGAAAAGATAACTGAAGAGAGGTGCAACCTCCCGAACTTTCTGATATCATTACAATCATAGAAGTAGAGAATAGAAATTGACCTTTTACTGCTGCCTGATACAGGAATTGTGCAGTGTCAAATTAAGCTTGCAGGTGGCAGATTCAGGGAGTAGGGAAGGGAAAAAAAGAAAAAAAGGAAAGGAGGGGATTCTTCATGGAATTTATTTCATGCTGAAGTACATAATTTAAGCAACTCTGTGGTTGCTAAAAGTTTATCTGGGCTCATGAGGGAGGTGAGCAAGCTTTTGATGGATTCCTCCTCCATAGTCCTCTAAATAGAGAAGCATTGTTTTTAACTTAAAAGTACTTGGATCAAACTGTTGGAGGGTAGGAAAGCACTTTAGGTAAGTGTATGCTTGGTCTGTTTTTACCTTCCTAGAGCTCGCATAATTCACCTGCTTTTCTTTTCCTCCAATACCTTCATGGTGAATCTGGAAGGAGGGTTCCGCTGTGTCAGTGTCTATGTGGTGACGAATTCATGGGTTAATAGAACTGAAGCAGAGGGAGAATTTGTTTGATACAGTTGTTCCAAACGATGAAATCATGCTTCTGTACTAAATAGTAAATGTCTTTTAGATCTCTGCAGTTTTGGGTTTCATGAGTTGGAAAGTATTACAAATAATTTCGATGCACGACCAGAATCAGCTGGAGGTAATAAACTGGGAGAAGGTGGCTTTGGAGTTGTGTTCAAAGGCTACATCAATGGCAGAAATGTGGCTGTCAAGAAACTTGCTGCTGTGAGTTGTCTTGGATGTATTCTTTTTTTTTCTCTCTCTTAATGACTGCATGCCATATAGTATAGACTTTATCTATGGAATTAGTGCCACACTTCAGAAGGTGTCACATTTTAACTTTAGTTAGGTTGAGAGCCTTGTGCTAGAATCCCACTACCAAAGAAGTGTTGCCTGGTCTGCATTTCTCCTTTCTGTGACCTCCTCCACACCTCACCCCCAGCCAGGGCTGGTTAAATGGCAGGTGGGACGTGTCACTAGGGAGGTTGCCCCCCCTGAAGTTTATTCTGACACAACCTAGATAACGATTCACAAGCTGAATACAAATTGTGATAGGATTTTAGTCTTCGTAGTAGATGCTTTCTGTAAATGATTACTTTTTGTAACTATTAGTAAGTAAGAGCAATTAGATAAAACACTAAGCTAGTGACTCTGCTGGTGCTAGATCAGCTTGTCCAGTAATGTCATATTCCAAAGAATTAAAAATAGTCTTCTAATTTCATTATTGAATTCAGTAAAAATTATGGTGAGCAGTTAAGTAGCTGTTATTTTTAACTAATTGAAGGCAAGGTTTACAATTTCTTTTCATGAACAAGCTTGCATTTTAGTATGGGTGTTAATGTCAGATCCTTTCTTTTTTCTAGATGGTTGATGTTAGTGTTCAAGAATTGAAAGAACAATTTGATCAAGAAATAAAAATGATGGCAAAGTGAGTATAGTATCATACAATGTTAGAGCTTTCTTTGGGAACGTAATTTGGCAGATGTAGCATGTTTATTAGCATAATTTCTTATTTGTGTGTCTCTGGCATGGGTTGCAATTTTCATACTAAGTGAAAATGTTTCATATAAAGTGTGATTATATTTTGTTCACACAAATGCACCCGTGCAAATACCTGGATGGTAACTGTGAGCAACAGGGCTGCAACCTGGAAACTGGGGATCAAATTCCATGTGCTGAGCTTTCCCTTAAATGCTGGGAGTGTTGCACACATATCTGATGAGTAGTTTTGTTGCCACAGGTGTCAGCATGAGAATCTAGTGGAACTGCTGGGCTTCTCCAGTGATGGTGCTGTGCCATGCCTGGTCTATGAGTACATGCCCAATGGCTCATTGCTGGACAGACTCGCTTGTCTGGTGAGTAGAATCTTGTCTGGTTTCTGGGCATCTTGTTCTTTTGATGTCAAGATATCTATGTAATTGTCTGTGAAAGTGATCAGCTATATATATCAGCCACTGAATTCCAGTTAACTACTGTGTTCCAGGAGCAAGAGTAGTATGATAAAGCATTTTATATCCACATAAAATATATTAATATTTATTATTGTATGCAACTATTTAGACCCAATGTACCTTAGTCAAAGCAGGCTACCTATACCTGTACCAGTGCGCTTTCTCTTCACTGCCCTTGTTATACCAGTTCTAACATGATGTTCAGAGTCTGTATTTCAGTTTCTGCAGGGCCTAAACAAAAGAAAATATTTTATTTGATAAAATACTATCACAAAATAAGTATTTAATCAGATGACTCATCTCTTAGCCTTTAAGTAATAAACTGCCTTTGTTTTGATAGAGGAGACTCTGTCACCTGGCACAATGATACCAGTGGTAAGCCAGACTTAACCTAGTAAATGGGTGTCCGTGTTAAAGGAATTCAAAAAACACTTGTGTACTAAGTAAGTGAATTTTGTAAGGTTGCAACCTGGTGAACAGTTTGGACTGGTGCTAATTGTACGCCATTTTCTGCACTGATCTACTCTTGTACGGGAACAATTAGAAGTTGCAGAGAGAGATGGATTAGTGAACTGATTGGGCTGAAAAAATACTTAGAAACCTTAAGTGGTACTGGAACGAGGAGAAGTGGGTGGGGAAAGGCCTGGATATGTCTGCACTGAAGAAATGACTACAGCTGTTTAAAATTCAAGATGTATATCAGTTTATAGCTGACATTAAGTGGCCACAGGCAGAATGAAGATAGATTTAACAGTATTGTAACTGATGCTCTCTTGGCTTCTGTTTTCAATATCATCTGTCTTGAAGATTACAGACAGTGGAGACTTCTTGTTTTGCTTTTGTATTTGCTTTGTTTTGTATGTCTCCTTCAAGATGAGTTTTTTTTTTTCTCTTGAATTGCTGAAACCAGTTTTAGAGCTACCAATTTGCTCAGTAATCACAGTATTTTCTGTTTTGAGAAAACAGAAAATAGAAAAAGTGAGTGCTGAATGCCCTCATTTGTATTTTCCACTAAGTTTCAGTTGGTATCAAGGTGTCTTTAATAAGCTTTTGAAAAGCAGGCAGCTATCTGCCTATATCTTTAATTGCCTCAAAGTCTGGCCTAATGTGCTTTAACATACATGTTTTTATAGTATAGGTATTTAATAGATTTTTTTTCATGTTTGTACTTGCCCTTCTCTCCCCCTCGTTAAAGGATGGCACTCCACCAATTCCTTGGAAAACAAGATGCAAAATTGCTCAAGGTACAGCAAATGGCATCAACTTTTTGCATGAAAATAATCATATTCACCGAGATGTCAAAAGGTAACAGCTGCTGACTGTCACTGTACATTTTTTTTTCCTGATTAAGTCATCTTAGAGAAAACACTGAAATAATGATTGTTTCAGCCAAGGACACCATCTCTTCGGTAAGTGACACCTATCACGGAAATCTTGCCTGTGCCCCGAGGACAACGTCAATATGCAGTTATAAAGATAATTATGAAGCTGTTGTGATCTCCCACTGTCAGATAGTTGATTGAGTACTGTGGGAACACCTAGGAATTCTTTTGTAGCTGCTGCTAGCAAAAAAGCCCTTTTAGAGACCTTTTTTTTTTTTTTTTGCTACAACATTTTTTTGAAAGTCTACTTGATTTACTGTTATTTATAATAGAGACGTTAAAGTGACGTTCATCACGTTTATGAAGTTTAGGTCTCTTCAGGGTTAATGTATGTTCACTTGTTTGTTGCAATAGCAATTTTTGGAGGGATATCAGAGCTCAGAGCAAGGGTTTGTTTGTTTTGTGCCTGTCTTCTTCTCTTCCCTGCCCCTTGGTAGCAGTTTGCTTCTTTTTGAAATACTGAATTTGTCCAAAGGTTTAAAGAAGTGCTCAGATGCCATATTCCTTCTCTAGGTTAAGAAGGAGTATAACTGGAAGGAGTTTGATGTTATGGATCAGTATTTAAATGGTTTTCTGGCTTCTAGCATTCTACTTGTTACCTATATTGCTTAGGTTTTGTGACCTTCCAAAATGTCAGGAAAGACCAGGTGATTTTTGCTTCAGGTCTCATGAAATGTGCTTGCCGCTTTGAGAGTTCCTGTTTCTTCTTCCTTCCCTGCTTAAGCCACTGGACAAGTGACTGGAAGTGACATCGTCTTTCACCTTGCGCTCCTCTACCCTTCTAACTGCTGTGAGTTGATCGTTTTACAGTATCGCTCTTTTCTTTCTCTTTTGCAGCCTCTTGCACTGTGAATAGTTGAGTAAGTTTGTATAGCAGGTGCTATTCATAGTGCTGCCACTCTGGTATCAAATTAGGAAACATCTGAGAAACTTCACTTTGTTCTTCATTTGTGTCTACACATGACACATAGAGACATTTGGTAACCTTGCTGGCACTAGAACCACTATTGTGGATGTTAGAGACAGTTCATTTTCAGAAATGATCGACTTGGTATCTTCAGAATTACCCATAATTTTTTCCTGTTTATACCCAGGAGATAGTTGATTTATCTTTTGAAGTCTCTAACAGTTGCAGTAAACTTGTTTCTGCTGTGCTCTCTGTGCTGTATCAGAATGTGATGCTTCTTTGGGGCTTGTCTCTTCAAGTTGAAAAGCAAAGACTTCTGAAGCTATGAATGTAGGAGCTGAGCTTGAAATATGAGACCAGTTGGTGGATTAATTGAAGTTTGGTCTTCTGTGGTAGTCACATTCAACACTTTTTTACAGCAGTCCTAATACATCTTTTCATATCTTATAGCTGTGATAATTTTATTTAGAAGGTTTGGCAAACAGGAAAGAGAAGATAGGAGTAAAAGTTTATAACAAGCATTGTATGTCGTAGCTGAGTTTCTGGTTTGCTTATGGTTCCAGTGAAAGGGTCAGAAAATGACAAAGATTACATAAAATTTAAGTCACATGTTTTTAATATGGTTTCCAGTGCTTCAAGATTAAAACAATAGAAGGATCTAGGTTGTAATTCATCACATTTCCATATTTTAGAAACAAACCTCCTTTTAGATGAGCCGAATTCTTCAGGTTTTCTCTAGGAGCAGTAAAAAAAATAAAAAATAATAATAAAAAAAAAAGAGGATGAAGTGGAAAGACAGCAAATATAATTATTCCCGCCTTACTATGTATTCTGCTCCTCTTTCAAGTGAGGAATAAGTTTACTTTGTACAGGATAATAAGTACAAAACTGTCTTTTATTGATTCTGGGTAATCATTTAGATGAGAAAAACCTCCATTGAGATGTAATACCAGTTTATCGAAATGAAGTATTATATATTATGCTGATTAAAGGACATTTTTTTTCTTATGTGTACAAGAAAAGCTGTCTCCTAGGCAGGCAGTATTTGATTTATACTTACTTAGAGCAATTTGTTTTGAAATTGAGCAATTTTGAACAAAGCTTGCTCTTGTGCTGTCGTGTGAAAATGTATCTTAAATTTCGAGAAACCATCAAAATAGCACTTAGCATTTGATTGCTGAAGAACTGTTAGTCTGTTAGAAAACCTAGTTACTGTCATATTTTGGAGAACAACCTTTTTGTTTTCTTTCCTTCTCAGTGCAAATATCTTGCTAACTGATACTTACATGCCTAAAATTTCTGACTTTGGACTTGCAAGAGCATCTGTAACATTCACTCGAACTATCCTGACTGACAGAATTGTTGGAACTGCAGCCTATATGGCACCTGAGGCGCTGCGGGGAGAAATAACCCCCAAGTCGGATATCTTCAGTTTTGGAGTAGTAAGTAGCACGTGGGAAACAGTATATTCTGTAAATGAATGAGAATTCTGTAATTGAAAACTTGCAGTTAAACAAGCCACTCTGATCTATCATTTTCATTTTGCACACCTTCCACAATGTGCTCTTAGAATAGTTTTTCTAAATCTTAAACCTTTTTGTTTGACTTCTAAAGCATTTGAATATGTTGAGTAAGAGTTGCTAGGATATGCAACCATTGTGTTAAAATGTGAATTTGTATATGAAAGATTAGAGCAAAATAACATGCCAGGTTTTAGCTAAGTGTAGTTGGAAGTAATACAGAACACTGTTTTCTTTTTGAACTGTGATAATGAAAATAAAGGTGCAAAGAACAGAAAAAAAATCAGGTGTATAGAGAATTTTTTTTCCCCAATGCTACAGATGCTAAGAGTTATTGCATGCTTCTCTTATTTTTCTCTTCCAGGTCTTACTGGAAATAATAACAGGTCTTCCACCAGTAGATGAAGACAGGGATCCACAGTTACTGGTATTTTATTTTTCTTGCACCCCTGTCCCCACTCCAACCCCACACGGATTCCTTTTTATAAAATCATAGGCAGACAACAAGTTTTGAGACAATTCATTTAGCAAAATGGTGTAGTTACGTAAAACAGCTCTTGTATCAATATTTAGCAGGAATCTTTATTTCTTCACTGAGCCGACTGTTCTGTTCTTGGTGTTTGTTTTGTGGAGAAATCTCTCTTTCTGCAGATTTTTACAATTTCCTTCAAGCTAGATTTCTGTTGCTTATATTATCCCACAGGATTATCTGTCTTTCTGGTTATTCTAATTCTGGAACTTCTCCATAACTCTTCCAGTCTGCATATCTTCAATGTGATGACAAGGCTATTTATGTTGATATCTTGACTCCAACATTTCCTTGTTGGAAGTATTCATTTCTACTGGGAACCTGCCCTATACACACATTTCTTTTTTTTTCACAGGCAGCTTTTGTTCTTGGCATATTGTGTCCTGTAATGAGCTAATAAATTATGTTGTTTCTCAGTATCCTGTCTCTTGAAGCTCAACTTCTTGCAATTTATTATAAAGGTTCTTTGTACTAATTCCAATGCATGACCGTATACTCTGTACTACTGTATTTCATTTCATTTCTGCTGTTCCAGCCATAAAGTTCATCCTTCTAACAGGGTATTCTAGTTCTCTCTGCTACTGCCTCTCTCTGCGATGATATAAAGCTTTATTGCTGTATTCTTGTTTTATCCATTATACCCTTATAGTTCCTCTTCTCATAAGAACACTTTTAAAATACTCATCTCAGTTGCTCCTTCATGCTTCTTGTCATTCTTGTATCAGTTCCAGTCTTTTCCAGCTTCACTAATAATTTACCTTGTTTATTAACCTTGGGGAATTGTGGATGTAAGTACATTGTCCCTTTTTTCTTTTTCTTCTTTTTCTTGTAATTACTTTTCGATTTCCACAAAAAGACCTTTATGAAGTCCATACGAAAAAAGTTATTCATGCTTCAGCTTGTTTATTTGTGTTTTTTTTTTAAGTAAACATAAATACTTTATTGGGCACACTTGTTTTCTTAAATAAACAGATGCAATACCAAGAAACTGCTGAGCTTTTAAGTGGGTGAAAATTATGGCTCAGTGATGCAGTTTAAAGAAAATTGCTTTGCAATTGTGCATAAACTGAGAAATAATGATAACATATACAGTAAATCCGTATTTTCCATTTATAGTCTCAGAGGCCATTTCTGCAGATAATATTGTTGAATTCTAATGCTGTTGCACAAAGAATGTCATTCTCCATCTAGAAGAATGATTGAGGAAGAAAACACCATCCACAAGCAAGTTTTCAAAATGTTAGTGTGGAGTGTAGAATCCTCAGATACTTACAATTTGAATTCTCTTGCAGTTAAGTATCAAAGATGAAATTGAAGATGAGGAAACAACTATTGAGGCTTATGTTGATGAGAAGATGAATGACTGGGATGCTGCTTCAGTTGACAAAATGTATTCAGTTGCTAATCGGTGTCTGAATGAGAAGAAAAACAGGAGGCCAGACATTAAGATGGTAGGTAGCCTTTCGCATTCAAAGGTGGTTCTTAGCCTTTGATCTTTTGGTGACAGTATCAGTTACTTGTATTGTCATCTGTTCTATGGCAGGTCCAGCAGCACCTGCAGGAGATAGCAACTTGAAGTGTCTCTTCTGATGCCGCGTTTCCTAGATGGAGAGGAGAGCAGGAGCAGATACAGACTTTCCTTGGTATTTAGAGTGACGGCGTCGGCTTGTCCTGCATGTCCTGTGTGCTCTTGGCCTGTGCCCGTTGGGCGTCAGGCCTTTCGTGTATCCTTAGCCAGCAGCTCCTTAGTATGAGAAAATGGGGAGCCTTTTTTGGGTTACCCAGTTGCATTCCTGATATGTCTTCTCCATGGCTTTTCAGAAGCATTTCTGTGGTAGAATCTCTTTGTCTCTAGATCTTCAAGTACCAAGTGTGTCTTCTGCAAAGAAGATGACAGTGGGAGGCTCAGTTGTTTTTCTTCAAATCACTTTCTTGTGCAGATAGGCTAGCCCATTTTATTGAAGAAAAAAACCTTTAATTGATATAAATGCAAGCTCCCGTTCCGTGAGGATACAGTAGAGGTACCCATTTAAACCAAACTTGTTTAAAATTTTAATGTGCAAATCCAAATTTATGTAAATGGACAGTATTTGTGAATGTGGCAACTGTCTGGATTCAGACTTTTTTAATGTCTTTGTTTTTTTTTCAGATAAATGCTGCAAAACATATTTTAGATTGCTATTTTGTTTAGGTGTTTTACAAGCAAAGTAATTATGTTGCAATGCAAATACAAAACTAGATACAGTTTTCTTCTCATGTATGCTGTATGATGACAAACCATTCAATGTTGGTTCATAAACTCTTGTTCAGGAAAAAGACTCTTAATTACTTTTAACGTTCTTATGCTTCACTAGATTTCATATAGTATATTATAAATACAGAGGGTGTGTTATGTTCTAGGGGCCAGTATAACACTGTATAATATTGTTTGAACCAATTCCACATTCTCCTTAATCAAATAGTTAAGTGCTTATCTTAAATATATTTATTTCTGTAGCAGCATGGGAAGCTTTCTGAAAGAGAACCTAGATGAAAGCAGACTAAAAAAGAAAGTGAGGTGAATAAGATTCCAATTTTCTTGTACTAACCTAGGTATGAGACTGCTACTTTTGTAAATACAGATTTTACTTTCATGTAAATCTCTTGTATCTCATGTATGTTGTTTTCTTGACAACTTAGGGGTAGGAATATGGCCTTATTTGAAACCCATGATATCAAAGAACAAAGGAAAATGAGAAGTGAGATTTGATCTGACTGCATTCACAGATGTATACATTTTTGTAAAAGATTTGTATTTTCATCAGCTGAACTCCCCTTGCCTATTAACTCATTATGGATTGCCTTTTAAAATGATGGAATAACCTAAAAAGTATCTGCCTATACAACTTTAGTTTTATAGAACACAAGTTCACTTGCAAAGAAAAAGCCTGGTGTCATTGGTGCTAATGTTTACTTCTAATAAAATAATATTTTAGTAAAGCTGTCTTGTCTTTAAGGAGTAAAGATGTGTTTAGCTAAATGAATTTTGTAAACAGTTTGAGATTTTTGAAAAATCTCTCTTGCTTTCAGTCTCACAAGGAATGAAATTGTGAAATGTACCTAGCCAAGTACCTTAGAACATTCCTTTTTCAAAAAGCACAGGTTGCAAGAAGGAGACCTTGGCGGGGGGAGGGAGGCTGAAAATTGTTTCTGAGACCTTCAACGGGTAAACCCAGAACCTAGAGCTGCTGCCTGGGGCCCAGAGTTGCTGACTCGGGCTTCATTTATTCCCTGCAGAAACATTAAGCCATCCTAGAATGCAGCTTGTACCTGCAGGAGCCAGGGTATTGCGCCTCTTGGCAGTAATTATGCAGTCAAGATTTTCAGGACACCAGTCACTAACTTCCTTAGTCCTTCATGTTCCTTGTGTGTAAAGGGGTAATCCAGTTCTACAAAACTGGAGCTTAGAGAAAAGGTGGAGAGCTGGGCTAGAGCTGCTCTCAGGGGTAGAGTTTAAGGCCTGCTAGGGTCGGTGTAGACAGTCCTGGAAGAGGAGGAGGGAGGAAACGTCTCCTAGGGGAAGGGTCCTGACATTTTGCATGTTGAAGATCCAGAAAGCCATAACTTACAGCATTTTAAATGTGAATAAAAAACAGCGAGAGAGGTACTGCCACTTCAGCTGAGAATCTAGAAAGTAGCAGCAGGATGAAATCATAAAGATAAAACAAACAAAAAAGCCCCTTCGTAGTGAATTAAGATCTGCTCCCAGTCCCTCTCTCCTAGGAAAGCCTCTTGCCAAGGGCAGCAGCTCCAGGGCTGGTGCCGGCGGCAGGTAGGAGCCTGGCCTGGCTGCAGAGCTGGGCGCTGCGTTGTCCTCGTGCCTGGGACAGCAGCCAGAAGCAGCTGCTGACGAAAGGGCAGACGGAGCCAGTGCCCAGGGCTGCTCTGTGCAAGCGAGGGGCTTGCTGCAGCGTGCAGCTCTCGGCTTTTTGGGAGAGATGGGAGGTCTTCCTATGTGTTAAACCTCTAGTGACTTCTCTTCCATCAATCTGCCCACTGGCTTTTTGAGCCCCCACACATGAATTAGTCATAGGATTCATATTCTTGCTATAAATGTGAAGAGTTGCCTCATCTTTATTCTTGAGCTGGCCAGCTGAGTTTTATTTAATACTCCATTCACCGAACGCAGAGAGATCAACGGTAGTTCTGTTCACACATAGGCATGAGGATGCATCCCACTTCCTGCCTCGCTCACCCTCGCCTAGGGACGCAGCTTGCTTTCTGCATGGCCTTTTGCATTAAAATTACCCCATTAAATCAGAGTTCAACATAGCAACTTCTCTCTCTCAACTTCACAATTGCCCTTTCATGCACAGTTCCCATAGGGGCAGGGGTGGTGGTAGCAGGACAGCTAAAGAAGAGGCTGAACTACTCCAAGTTATTTTCATTGGGAAAAGATGAGAAAGACTGCAACGTTACCAAAGCATCATCCTTAGAAAGGTTCGATTACATTAACTCACACTGACTAAATACCCCAGCAGATAAAAAGCGAGTAGTTCTAATCACCTTCAGTGCCTACCCAGCACCACGAGGACAGAAGCTCCTTGTTGAAGCAGTTTGAAAGGGGAGAGGAAAAGCAACACCCACACGTGGATTCTGGTAGAGAGCCCTCAGTGGAAAAAGCAGCTGCTTCTCAGAGGGTGCAAGTTGATTTTTTCCAGCATTAAAACTGAGGAATTTTGTTCCTTGGCCTCTCTTCTTGCCCTACCATCTCTTTCTCAACACTGCTTTGTGATGCTGCAGGAGCTGTCACTCGCTCCCATGCAGCGATACAGAATGTGCATCCCTGTAGGCTGTGCCTAACAAAATCCACAACGCCACATGAAAGCTTCACTCTTTATTTATAAAGTAAATTACAAAATAGATAATGAAGTAACCTTTTATTTCATTTTAGTAACGGAAGGTGGCTTACATTCAATACATAAGATACCATAATCAAAGGCTTCCTTCAGCAATGGGTTCATCCAAGAAATAGAGCAATTTTTACCTTAGTTGGTTTTACAAAGCCTCCACTTGGGGTTTTTCTTGTATTAAAAGATTCAATTTTCCCTACTTTAGTGCTTTGTATTCTCAGCATTTCAAAAATAATTACCTTATTGCTTGTCGCTTTCACTAATAACTCCCCCAGTGCTCGGGGTAGCTGCAAGCGGCCCCGTTGCTGTTGCGCTTTATGGAGACACCAACAACTCAGGCCGGCCACTTTCAGCCATTAACTGACCAGAAGCAGTTCAAATAACTTTTAATGCCCTTATTTTGTGCTGGCTCTGAACATTCACGAACAGTGAACAGGTGTAGTGGAAGGTGAGGCAGCGAAGTAGCTGTAAACATGAGGGATCTTGCAAGAAGATCAGATGCTTCTTACTGCTTTGTGGGGAGCAGCACAGTGAGGCACCAGCTCATGTAAGAGATGAGGCTGGTGCAGCAGTGGTTGTTTTAGGGGAGAGGAGGAGGAAATGTGCTCAGGACACTGCTCAGGGGTGTGAACTGACCCTGCAAAATATCTGAAAATAAGGCCCCTTAAAATACCTGGTTTGGGCTCAACTCAACAGAAACTCTGGGGAGTTTATGCTCAAATGAGCTTTGAACAGGGTTTAGCAAAAGAAAATGGAAAAAAAAAACCAAAAACAAAAAAACAAAAAACCAATACAAAAGCACGTATCCACAGCAGGCCAAGCTGTTCATTTTTTAGGACATTTAGTATTAAAACCCTGAACTTCTTTACTCAGTCTAATGATTATAAAAAAAAACGCAGAAGCATTTGTGTGTGCCAGCCGGGGCAGGCGCGCACAGGGGCAGGAATACTGAATTCAAACAAGCTCCCTAGCAGTGATTTTGAACTGCTACGGTCGGCCATTAATCTTATCATAACCTTAATAACCTTTATTAACCTTAATAAATCAAAAAAATAGGTGTGCCACAATGATTCTGACTTAAACTAAAAATACCCTTATCTGGAGCGAGTAGTGAGCTATGTTTAAAAGGTAGTGACACCTGCCTGACCGCTCATAGGTGGAAAGAAAAAATCCCAAAGGCAAAAGGCAGGAAGGGAGTGTGGCCCCGCGGGAGCAGGGGCCTGGACTGGATGCTCTCCAAGGGTCCCTTCCAACCTCCATCGCTCTGTGGTTCCGTGAATACGGTACCACTAAGAACAGGGAGATTCGCCAAGGGTAAGGAGCTGCTGAACGGGCCTGATGTCGTGTGGAAGAGTAAACAGAAAAGAGGCGAGGTGTAAAACTTCTACTGCAGATGAAGAACAAAAAACACAGTGAAACCAACAACTCCTACAGTCTTCACATTACACAGTGCAATCTCAAAAGGGTTGATAACACATTAGCATTTTGTCATGTACTTGTAGTGTCAAGGTATTATTTCCCTAAGCAGCAGGTTAAAATACATCTTCCATCAGGAAAGAACAATGATGTGATGCAGCTACATAATGCAAACAACCACAATTTATAATAATATTATGCAGTAAACCAAGGCTTGCAACTCATATGGCTCTAGAAATCAAAAAGCACAGAACCCACATGCAAAACACCAAAAAACAAGTTCCCTCTGGGGAATATACTTTAGCCACTAGATATTTGCCTCATTTTAAATTTGCATAATTTTAAATATTTCACCTCCTTCACTATGTGATTTTCATCTAAATTAGATTTTCATCTAATTCTTCTTTAGTCTACTTGTAAAACGCATCTATTTTCTTACTCCTATTAAACAGATTAAACTGTTTTATCAAAATTATACTCTTCTGATTTTAGTCTGCAGTGAGGAGGAAGAAAAAAAAATCAAAACAAAAAGACAAAACACTGGCCAGGTCCTGCCAGCTCTTTTTCAAGACCTAGTTAGATTTTTGATACAGATTTAAGTTACTATTAAAGTTCAGACATTCAGAAAATCATTTTCAGATCATCTTGACTGTATTAAGTTGCATTAGATCCTGTAAATGCAATAGAAAAGAATCTGAAAACAAGAATAACTCCGCATTATGAAGCAAGTTTTTTTTTTTTTCTTTTAACTGAACTTAGTTTTAGACCCAAGTGCCCAGGAAATCAGCTTTTACAGAAACATTTAAGCATATTGCTTTGGAAGCAGCACCATAATCTATCAAGTATACTGACTCATGCACTTAGAATTACATTTTACTTGATAGTTTGGTACTTAACATATAAGGTTTAGGAGTAGTTTTACAGTCTGGAAAAGCTGTAGTGGTTTATGTCAGATTCCTGTAAAAGACAATTCTACAAAATCGTTTCATTTGGAATGACCATGCCTTTATTTATTTAGTTAGTTTTGGCAAGGAAAGAAAGGTCACCCATTTCTGACCTTCTGTATTTTTTTAAAAATAATAGATTTTTAAATGAACTTTTCTATTAAGAAAACCAAACGCAATAATTCATTATGTCAAAAAGAGCAGAAAGTCTTCTACTGTAGTGTCACCCATGAGAGCTACAAGGGAAAAATGAAGCGCTGCCGGCCTCCCCACGGAAGCCTCGGGGGCCTCGGCAAGGCTCTGATGAACACAGCTCTGCTCCCTAGGCAAGCAACGAAACCACCCACAGAACACAAGGCTGTGAGAGATTTCTGCCCGTGAGGGTTCTGATCACATCTATAGCTATTAAATAATGGATTCTAATTTAAAACAAAGTAATATGGATTTAGTTTTCCTCTCTAGTACTGAAATATCCAGCTCTTCCATACGTCATCAAACATGGTAAATAGAAAATCTACATAGTGCTGTCATCAGGAGAGGGAAGAGTAAAAATAGCTTTTTCTTCTAGAATCTATAGAATAATTTCAGTTCATTAGCAAAAAACACAATTTTGTTTCTCACTGTAGTATCTTATTGATAGTGCAAATAACAGCTTTTAATCAGTAGGTGTTTCAGTCTCTGCAGGGCCTCTGATCAGTCTTCGAATTCCTCTTTTCCCTGCGGGACCTTTCGGTTTAGCAAAACTTTGTTTGTGTGCATGTTGTTTTGGGTGAACCTCTTCATAAAGGAAGTCAGCAGTTAACTCATCACCATTATCTATTTCAATCTGCCAAAAAAACAGCACGTGCAAGAAAGTTCAGTCTCTAGCATGAAGTGTTCCCCCACTTACTTGTGCCTAATCTCAGCAATCCTGGACAGATTTTCCTGAAATTCCTCTTAACCAGCATTGATAAGTGTGATTTGATTTCACTGGTTCTTCCTGAAGCAGCAGCACGACTACACAGTAAATACACCAAGAAACCTCCCCACCCTCCAGCTCTAGCACAGTGTACATGTGGGTGCCAACACTGGGAATAAGAATTCCATGTGGAAACAAGGCCTTAACTACTCTTTCCTTGGCATGTGCAAGAAAGCACGATGTGGCCTTCCAGATCTCTTATTCTGTCCTCCGAAGGAAAAACTTTAAATTGTCCCAATGTAAGAATCACATCCTAACAATTAAAAATTCACCTGCTAAAATCACATCCTAACAATTCTAACAATTAACATCTTAAAATCACATCCTAACAATTAAAAAATGTGTTTTAAAATTTAAACTTGTAAAAGCAACATTTATAACATACTGTTGTCTCCTGAGGTTGGAGGGGAGGCGCGGAAACAGCTTATGTGATTAGTGGACTACTGCAGCTCAAGTTTCAAAGAGCATTTATTCAAGCCAGGGAAAATGCTAAAGTCAATTTGATGTGTAAAGACTTGTTGTTGTTATCTTTTAAGTGTAAAAATATAAACCTGAGTGGAAAGAAGACACTGTTCTCAAGCCAAACCCCACAGATTTTAACTGGGGAAGGTAGCCCTGAGAGGAGCCCTGCCCCGTCCTGCTTCATGGCCTGCCCACCGCAGCGACCAGCCGCTCCACGGCCGCCACAGCAGCGGCTGCAGCAAAGGGTCTACCCGGTATCTCGGGGTCATGTGACCCTCAGGCTTGACTGTAAAAAGAAACTTTCTAAGAAATAATTAGGCATAAAAATGGCTAATGTTAATTCTACAACTTTAGGCAGATGAAATCCCCTTGGAAACCAAATCCGAAAGTTCTCCTAAATGTAGAGCACAAGTATTAAGAACATAACCAAAGGTCATATCTTGCATGAATAGGCTATTACTATGGTCGGTTTGCTAGCAGTGATAAGACACTTATTCTTCACGCACAGCAGCAAAATCTTTAGCAAGAAAAGATGAGCTTGCGTACAAATCCGAATCTGCCCTTGCCAAGGACTGATAAGATAGCAATTAATATTTGAGAACTGCAGCCTGAAATTCATTATTTTGAAAATCCTCAAGTAACTTTGTTCCTAAATTCAGGGTTCAGAAACAACAGTATGTTGTGGTCCACATCATTTCTTACTAAAAGGCCTGTCATACTGTTACTTGAGAGTACTCCTTCAAAATACTGTCAAACACTCCCTTGAGGCTAAAGGATATATTCGCTAAATCTATGAAAAGGTAGAAATGATAAACCACAAAAAAACTATAATGCCTTAAGTTTAAATATACAAGTTTTATCAACAAATATTTCCTGTTGAGGACAGGCATTTATACACAATTCGGCAATTAATCAACATTTTCTCTCCTTTACACAAAGTGGTGGCACAGATAGCTATGGCTGGGTATCAAGAAAGGGACAGAAGGATAGAGAAATACCAGCAAACTTACTTTTCTAATTATCTGCATCCACAGCTGTCTCTCTACAATTTCTAACAGGGGACTTTTGCAACTAGAGTACAGCATCCGCTCGCGTATACTGCAGGTATATCCAGGCATAGAGTAGATGAAAACTGCAGGGAAAAAAAGTCAGAACAAGACACATCACATAGAAGAACCTTTATCATCACATCATTTACAGCAGAAATCCACTAGGCAGGCTGAAAGGGAAGATTTAACATCATTCTGAATGTGTAATTTCAGATATGGGGTCAGCGAATGGCCAGCATCTTTTCACATGAGCACTGATTTCTGGATGTTTAAAAGATGTTCCTTATCAAAAAGAGTATCTCGGCACTTTCTAAACGTACGGACTCTTCGGAAGTCTCAATTTCACAACCCAATGACACTGAAATGTATTGTCACACTTAAAGATCAGATTCCTGAAGCTAAACAGCTAACTCTGCATCAAGATGACTAAACTGCTGCAAACAAGTCAATGAAATTTCACATAGGGAAATATTCCTCTTACCTATGGATTCCAAATAGTCCCCTTCATGGGCATGCTTATAGAGGAAAAAGTGGTACCGCGCAGAATCCTTTGGAATTCTTTTTGGCAGGTCCTTAAGTTCGGTAGGAAGTGTGTTGGCCAAAATAATAGTTTCGTTTTTCATATCGATTTGCTGTTGTTAACAAAACAAACCCAAATATAGTTAATATACAGAAAGCAAACCACAGAACATGATAGGAAAAAAAATAAAATGAATTCAGTTCAGCATATCAATATATGACATATATGCATGTTATTTAATATGCATGCAATCTGTTCCATCCCATTAAAACAGTAAAACAAAAGTACTTTATACTTGCCAATTGCACATAATTGAGTTGCTTATTTTTCAATTTTTCCAGAGCCTGAATAGCGTCTTTAGCAATGGGGAATGCCACTCCTTGCAGAGTTTGATGCTTAGTATCTATGCCAACATCTGTCTGCACCTGCAATCAGCACAAGGCAACTGAGGTTTGAACAGGCGTCATACAAATCACAGGCACCGTGATGCCCCCGGCCGCACATGGAGACGGCAACAGCGCTGATAACAGGCTGCCCTCAAACATGACCCCAGTATCTGCATCCGTGTACAGTCCTGCTTGCCTGCTTACCTGAGAACACTTTCATATCTCTGCCAGCTTTGCAGAGGCAACAGATTTATGAGAGGAAACTGCCTGAAGCGTCAGTGAAGCTGCAACATTAATGCTAGCATAAAGATAGGGTAAGCCAGGAGGAAATAGTTTGGTTTTCATATGCTACGTTGTATTTATTAACTGACAATGCTGCTTACAAGCTTTGCTTGTATCTTGGAAAATTTTAGATCAAAATATATGTCATTTTTAGTAATTAAAGATTTTGAAAGGTAGGAAGAGAAATTAAACAAACCCACCCAGCTTAGAGGAAAACAAAAGCAACTTCCCTCCCTCTGGCTTCAGAGCCTCACCCACAAGCCCTATCCCAAACAGGAGGCAAATCAAAAACAGAGGCTTTTTTTGAACTTTTGACATAAAAGAGAAATCCAAGCTAAGCACAAGTCACACAATTGCTCATAGTCTAGTTATGTTAATCACATAAACCATTCAAGAGAAAAGGACAGTTATGTCAAGGACACTTTTCAAAAGAAAAAAAAAAAAAAGTATCAGTGTTCATGCTCTGGTTTCCAGTTTTCCAGATTCTGACCAGTGATTTTATTGGCTACTTAGAACCTTTGGAGTATACTGATTTCCTTTTTCAAATTCCCAAGTACATTAAATCAGAGATGAAGCAGCAAAATGTTAATTAGTCAGGAGGAAAAATAGGAAAAATTGAAAGGATTAGTCTTTGGCCTATCAGCTGGAAGATTTTCAGTTTAAATTAAAATTGTCTATTTATGAAGCATAGAAATAGGAAAAAAATCAAAGATACTTGAAGAAATAGTAGCTTATACTGCATCTTTTAAAAAGAACAGCTTTCCCGAGAAGCACTTAATAAATTTATTGCTCTCGATATTAAAGTAAAAAGATTAAATACAAATATTTACAAAAAGTACTCCTAATATATCTGCATAAAAGCCTGGTTAATTAAAAATAATAAGTGCCATAAAATTAAAAAATAACAAATATTAACCATAAAAGTAGAAAAAAAAAACATAAAAGCCAGCTGTGAAGTCTGGGGAGAGGCAGGGGAAGAGAGGAACAGCGCGCTCCAAGTTTAGAGATATTTTGAAGATTTAATAGTCCATACTATAAATTATTTCAGACCATTAAAGCAAAATGAAACATTTAAGGCACTTAAAAATTTAAGAACCCACATCGAGATTTGTGTGGGGACTGCTGAGTGGATAATGAAACGGCAGGGGAAATTCAACACACATAAATGCACAGCAACGTACGCAGGAGCAAACCAGGCCCTATTCTGCTTACACGGTGTGGGACGCTGAGCCTGGCTACTGCTGTTTATGAGCAAGACCAGGCGGGGGGATGTCACAGCAAAGAGTTCAATGAAAATGCAGCCCGGTTGCCAGCATTGGTTAAGACCAAAATCCCAAAACATTAACCAAAAGTACCGTCCAACAAAACACCCAAATGAAACACTATAGACCGTTAGAAGAGCAGAGAACAAGAACAGGACACATCGTTACCCGCTGCAGATATCAGTAACATGCCCACATTTCAAATTGCACATGCAGTTCAGGCTTCCCCATCCCTCCAACTCAGAAATTAAATAGTAAACTGGAAAAAACACAGAGAAAGGCAAAAGGATCAAAGTATGGAGTACCTTCTTTAAGAAGAGCAACTAAGTAGATTAGGACTCTTCAGCCTGGAAGAGATAACTGAGAAGGAATACAAGAGAGATCTCATGGATATAATAGGAAAAAAAAAGAAAAAAAAAGAAAAAAAAAAGAGAGGAATGACTTTTTTCTGTCCTCTCATGTCTCTCATGTCCTACATGTGCAGGGTATTGCAGTAGCTACAGGACAGCAGCAGTTCAGTGCATAGCTGTGGAACACTCTGACATCGGATCTGTGCACAAACTTTGTGTGGAGTTAGAAGAATGGCAAGACGGTCACAGATGAAAAAGTCATCGTGAGAAACCAAGACACCACCTCTTGCTCAGGAGGGTCCTGGCCTGCCAAGGGGATTATCACGGTTTTCTTGCCCTGCTCTTGCACCCTTCCTAGATCCCTGCTGCTGCCCACGGCCCTGACACTGGACCAGCAAGCCTTTTATCTGACCCACTAAAATATTTCTCAGGATAATTGTGGAAGAATATGCATATGGAAAACTTGAATTCAAAATACATTTTTTGTTAGAAATCTTTCTAGCTTTCTGAAACTACGAAAGGAAAGTTAATGAAATATGATTTTGATGAGTCTAACTATAGCTTTCACAGTGCTGGAAAAAAATGAAGAGCTTAAGTAAGTTACCACATTGTGAGATGCTTCACACAAAGCCAAAATCTACAGCAATCTACAGCTTCTCTCTCACAGAAAAGCACAGCTAGTGCTGCCAAAGTTTCATAATAACACAGAGTTTTGGCCGACCTGAATCAGCTATTAAACACAATCCATGCACTGCACAAAATATGAATACTAGAAGTGATCATTAATAGTACAAAAATTTTAATTTCTTCATTTTTTAAAGTTTTTTAACTGTTCAAGTACAATGTAGTACATTGATATGACGATCAAATTTTATATGGTAAACATGAATGCATTTCTACATTGAGTTACTGAATGGAAGGAAAATATCAAAAGGCACTAAGGCCAAAAATAAATGTCAAGGAAAAAAAAAAAAAACACAACAGAAATGCAGCATAAGCATGTTAGAAAGTGAAAATCACCACAGAAAAGACAAAGAGCTGCATTTAACGGGATGGTTTCCTGGCATCCAGCTGCAAAAATAAATCATCTCTCAAACACATAAACAGTGCTGTAATATAGGCCTAAAGAACTATTAGGCTCAACATAAGAGCTATTTAATACATGCATGAACAGAATGATCAAGGGAAGAAACATCAGGAGAAAAGAATCCTCTTTCATAAGCAATAATGAAACATTTCAGCCACTGGGTAACCAACAATCACCAAGTTATTTGGTTAAAGGTGTTTATTAGAGATGTTTCCATTAAGGGTTTGTGACAAAGCAATTAGTCCTTTAAAAGGCTAGCATTTGTTTTAGTGAGAAAAAAAAAAAAGAGGCATTTTAACTGGAACTCTATTCAACTTCTCTCGGTCATGAAGACAGTGAACTAGTCCTGGAAGCTACGGAATTCACATACAAGGGTAAGGCTGCTGAGATACTCTTTAGGATTATTCACTGACATATTTGCTATTTTGCATTTTCCCTATTTTTTTGCTAAAATGGGAAAATTTTCTGGGCAAAGAAGCCCAACCAGTGATATTAAGCATGTGTAAGGACAAAGTTGCAACAACTCAGCTCTTCAGCTGCTAGGCCTCCAACTCACAAACTTGGCCTTGCAAATTCAGCACTCCAGTTATCATCATCTTGGAATCTCAGCTCATAGAAAGAAAAAAATACATTCTCATCTACTCAAAACTTTCAGAAACATTCCATTTTCTGATCTGTTTTTTTTTTTCCACTCTAGGAAGGCTTCTTTCTGTAACATTAAAGAACTCCGCAGGCAGTTCCCCCTCCACCCATGCTCTAAGGCCATGTAGGTACCTCATTAATCCTAATTTGTCGAAGCTCCTCTTCTGCTGCAGTCAGAGGTGCAGGGGAAGACTGTGATATCAAGTATTTTTTATAGCCATGCAGTGAAACATCATCCTGAAAGCATAGTGTAAGTATCAATTATTTTATAGTAATAAAAGCTTTCTCCAAAGATACTCTATGCAGAATAGAAAAGTATTTATGTATACTGTTTATATTATTCATTGTATTATATTCATTTTATTTGGCAGATTACAAGCATAGGAGCATTTGCAAATTCAGTTTGGCTTCCTGAACAAGAGGGTCCACTGGGCTGCTCCGATGCCCTTCTTACCAAGCAGCAGGCAGCATATCCATACCAGCCCCTAATTACCTTGCTATTTTAAAAATCAGACTTCATGTAGACTGAAGCATAAATGAAGTTACTCAGTCTGCTTGAACAAAACATCAAAGTGTCACATTTCTTATTTAAAAAATCTTCTTATAAAATCTGCATGTCCAGAGAGTAAACGAGTAGCTGACTGGTAGTTTTCTACCTAGAAAATGCAACTAGGAATACTGCCTACAGACTTGTACTAAACACGTGCATGGGACATGGCAAATAGCTTGGGATGAAGATTCCCAGACATGATGGATTCTGATAGCCACTCTGGGGAATTAATGTTCAGGGCCAGCTCTGGCTCTCTGCAAAGATTTCGATACCAGAGGTAAATGCTGCTCTGCTTTATAGTTAAGGTGCTGCTCGTAAAGGGCAGGACTTATACCATCAGGCAAATGTGGTTTTATACTCCAGATCTGAGAGCAATCAAAAGCTCCTTTTTAGCTTTTCTCTTTCTGGAGGAGGCAGACCATTTCCAGGGCCAGTGTTCCAGTATGTCTTGCTTCCAGAGCTCAGAGGTAACAGAAGGTTAATACACGTGAAGCAACACATGGGACCACAGCCTGGTTCCATCACAATACCAGAACCGGTTGTACTGAAACCATCTAGCAGAAGATAAGGGCAAAAAAAGCACATGAGTAGACCACTGGATACTGAGGATCAAGATTTGTCACTCTTTGAAGAAGCTGTGATGTTCACTGAGGTGAACATTAGAGGCAATTATTAACTTTATAAAGACATTAAATGCAACTATATCTATTTATAGATATAATAAGCTCTAGCACTATGAACTTGGCAAAGTGGCGTTATATTGACTTCATCCCCGAAGCGCCCCAAACACGTTCTGAAATACCAACAGCAAATCACTGCAGTGCTCCTTGGACACTCAGCCTTGCGCTCCGAGTTCCAGGGCTAGAAGGAAATTCTATGTATTACATAGACTCTGCTGCTAATGCTTCACTGCGTGCGGTGCTAAGAGATTATGTGAAAGAAAGGCAACAAGAAGCAACACGACCTTTACCAGTAAACCCTCTTAGTAACTGGGTTATCTGTTTCTTTAGACCACAGCCTCTCCGGGAGAGGCTTATTAGTGTGTTTGTTAGGATAACGCAGCCTCCACTCCATGGTAATGCTGACTATAACAAACAGGTTACTTAAACAGCAGGGAAATGATTAATCTCATTTCTTTTTGGATTTGCATCTTATGCTAACGTGTTCAACACAACAATTCTGTTTCTTTGCAAGGTTTTTCACCAGTATCCTTCTTTTTCAGATATTAATGACTACAGATAGCCATGCCATCCTAACTCCTGATTTGGAACCATACATCAGAAAGGCCTTTGGCCTGAAAGTTTTAGTGTAAAGGTGTTTTTTTTTTTTTTTTTTTTTTGAAGATTGGCATATGTGTAGCGAGCTTGAAAGATTCTCCTATCATTCTGAGATTATTTACTTTTCACGGATATTGGAAGCAAGGAGTTCTTAGCCTGAAATATTTTTTCAAGCAAGAATAATTACATTTAGACACTTGAATAAAACACACACCTTTTGATCTTCGCTCCTCACTTTCATGAAAACAGAGCAGAAACACCACAAATTCATACTTGCAAAACCACCAACTCTACTATTTCTCAAAACAGCATGCTGACTTTAGAAAGGGAAACAGGAAAACATACCTGAACTGTTCCAAATACTTCATCCTTAATATGACCACCTCCAAATTCTTTCTTAAGTGTTGCCCGGGTTGCCGCATACAACATTTTTTGACGAACCTAGGATGTCACAAGACAATCTTAACCTGTTTTTTTATGTATACACAAAAACTGGCATTTTTGTATGTTAAGTCTATTAAAAAACTTTTTTCCATATTTTATAGCTGAAAGTGTGATTTAGATTTGTACTTCTTAATATAAATTCCACAGAATGAGTTTTGGAGCAAGATAAAAACATATGCTGTTCTATTCTTAAGGATACAAGGAGACATTTTACCATGCAATATCAACCAAGTAATTCAAAATAGCAGCTTTAATTATGTGTCCACCCTTTGGTCTCTTAATATTTCCAAAAAGTTAGTGAAAGTTGTAGGAACCTGAGAATAACTTTACTTCCTGTCTTCCCAAACACAGTATTCCAGTTCTCCTAGGAACTCTAACCTCTGTTCTGCAACTCTCTCTGCTCGCTAACGAGCTGCTGTGGAAGCAGCAGCTCATGTTGTGGTCGGTCACAGACGCACAAGTGCCACTGGCCAGCCTGAAAGCCACACAGAATAAACAGCTTGAGCTCATGATAGAATCCTTCCCTCTACGATAACGCCAATTCAGATTTCTGTCCTATATCTTGCCATGGATTTTCATGAAACAACACAAACGGAAAAGTAGAAAATGAGAGTACAAATGTGTTTTGTCTCCTTTAATCAAGCTAAAATCTAACTGAATCAGCTGGACTTCACCTAGAGCCACTCACTCTGCTCCTTAACCAGCAAAAGGAGAGATGAGGGGTTTCCCCAGTTTCCTTGGAGGGAAGGGAGTGGGAGCGCTCCATCAACATTCCCCAAATTGTTCTCTCCTAGGATGTAAAGCCAAAGACACTGCTGAAAAATCACCACTGCTGTGAAGTTTCCGATGACGGATACTCACAGGGGAGTGATCGGGTGACCACGCGATGAAGATCCACTCATACCCTTGAGCATTCTGCGAGTCCAGCCTGTACAGAACATAGCAAGGTTGCTTGTCTTCCAGAAGAGGAAGAACGAAGGTGTCGTAATCCTTCTCCCATGATCCAGCAGGCTGCCTAGAGGATCCCACAACAAGCTGTTCTATAGACAATAAGCAAAGTTAGGCATTAACAACAAAATAGTCAACACTGGTTATTAAAATTAGAAAATTCAATAAACACTCATTACAATAACTGGGCCTTTAAACACTGGACTAGTAACAAGACTAATTTTAAGTCACTTGTTTTCCATAATTATATCTGCAAGAATGGAAGTCAAGAATTGTCAAAATCAAAGAAAAACTCGTGCAAAAGCCTGACCCAAATAAAAAGAGAGAAGCAATGTGCTGGTTGTCATCAAGTTCTTTGATCTGCAGGGATAAGAGACTGATGTTAGTGTTTTAGCACAACGCACACAGAAGAGGAAGAAAAACTATACTGTGACAATTAGTTTATTTTTATATCAGAGTATTTAGGTAGAAGCAAGATGAGAGGAAGCTTTTGATCTTTAGAATTATTGCTACTCTTGCTACAACATATTAGTGTTTGCATTTATTGTAAGGAGTCAGTAATCCTGACTCCTTACATACATAGTGAAAAGAATTTGGAATGAATATGCTTGCACTAATCACTTTAACTTGACTATTTAAGTAGATAAAACCCTTTTCAATACAGCTTCAAAAATACAGATTCTTTAAATGACTGAAGTGATTTATTACATATAATTGGCTTAATTCTACACAGAATACTTACAATTAGATTTAATCATGTGCAAGTTGAAACAAGATTTCCCTTCCTTACTTATGTACCATATCTTAGCTTCCAGAAGAAAATATTACCATAGTATTTTTTCAAAATATTTATCAACCTATCAACCAAAGCATTTATCAAACATTAAATACTAGCCCCCATGCCCAAAAGAGAAACACTTGGTTTAAATTAGATTCCAGTGGGTTAGGGACCATGATAATATTTAGTCTATAAAATAGACTACATTTTTTTGCAAGAGCAGGAGCTAAGCTCTAGCATTTCAGACCAGAGTGCAAAACAGTACAGATGCCCTTATACAGCGAATCTTTCAAAACAAGCCACTCTTCCACATTAATTTTCCAAGACACTGAACATAAGCAGCTCAGAGAATGTTTGGCACCTCGCTGCAGCAGATTCAAAGTAGCTGAAATAGCAGACATAGGAGCCTTATGAGTATTCAGAATGTACTTGCCAATTCTTAAACTCCAGATGGCTTTGAACTCACTTGGATTTAGACAGAAAAATGCAATTAGAGGAATTTCACTGCCCAGCAGCAAACCTGCTCTATTAGTAATACTAAACTGAGTCCTGCTAATTTATCTATTGAAAAATAAAAGAGTTGCTGCATACAAATGAGGCAATTGCCTCTCTTCTACCATTTCTGAGGGCTACAGTTTTCTTTTTGAACTTTGGAAAGATATATTGAGATGGGATTCTGCTTCTACTTACAGATAAAATATAGATACATAAGAGAAAGAAAAACATTTGATATAAATGGAAGACACTTTACATTTTAGCCTTCATCCTGTATTGAAAAAAGTAGTGCATATTCAAAAGCACAGTTTTTTATCTTGCCTAATGAAATCAAATTCAGAGCTATGTCAGCATTTGCTAATCTGTGCTGATGAAACATTACCACAATGAAACAAATGAACCAAATTTGCTGAAACAAATACAGCTTCTAACACTATTATTGCAGATTCCTTCAGAAAAGCAATATAAAAACAGTGCAGGATTTTCTAACACAAGCATATTCAAAGATGATAACAGGATATTTATCTGAGGATAAATTGACATGTGCGTATGTATGAACACACATACATGTTCCCAACAGCTACTTCAGCGTACTATAAATGACTGAACAACCAAAAAGTGAGGTCAACATCTGATGTGCTTTGAAGATGGACCAAGCGATGCTGTATTTTATACAGTTCAACTGTAACTTCTAAGCAGCATTCCCAATAGAAATAAGTGGGCATACTGCCCTGCATTATACTGAAAATTACAATGTTACAAAAATTCAATCCTATTTTCAGTATACAAAGACCGCAGTAACAGTAAGTTTTGCAATTTTTAAAAAACAAATATACACATAGGTTACTAAACAACAAGAAAACACCCAAAAGGATCTGAAAAAAAAAATTGGACTAACCATTTTCAATGACTATTTTTAAAAGTCTGTATTGTCCATTTCTGGCTCCAACAAAGGTGTCTTTGAGCTTTCCACTAGCTGAAAAAGAGAGAAAATAAAAATAACTGTAGGAAGACTTTTAATGTTCAATAATATTTTACCTTTCTCGACTATTCCCTGTCCAAGGGAAATAAAAGATCATATAGCATAGTGATTTCCCCCTGTGTTCCTCCTGTTCTAATCAGTGGGATACAGCAAAAAGGTGAGGACATTACAAATGTGTGAGAGGGAAAAGAGAGAGAGAAAAAAAAAAGGATAAATCAGCCTTGGTTTCTAACATACCACAGAATTTTCAATATTGTGAAAATTAAAGATGACTTGTCACATAATAAGTCTCAGGTTTCAGCGTTAATGCAGCAACACAGTAAAACAGGCACTTTTTTAAATTAAAATTACTAGTCTTTCCTAAGGACACTGTTCTGAAGAGTACCAGTGAAGGCTGATATAAAATCATCTTCTTGTATGGCTCTTAATATAAGATGCCCAAAGCACAATTCAGCAAAAAGGAGAGATTTATAATGAATTTGCAAAGTAGGTAAAAAATTCAATTTATAAACTGCACATTGACATTACAATGCAAACAGGACATTTCACTAAACTTGAATATTCCTGTGCTTGAACCTGAAGATCACTCTAATCTCATCTGTGCTTCTGAATATTCTGAGTACAAGTCCGTTTAATTGTACCCTAAGCAGGGGTGGGTGCAGCATTCATTAAAGACATTTATTGCAAGCCGCTCTTCTAAGTAATCCGACAGCACGGAGCACTGGAGCAGCAGGACAAACATCTGCTATCAAAGCAGGAAACAAATAAAAAGGATTATTTGCAGCCGCATCGAGGCCAAACAACAGGTGGCCAGGCCGCAGCCGGCTATGCTGCTCTCCACATTCAAAACATTTAAAAATTGTATATCAAGGTGGCATGCAGACTATTCAGGACATCCAAAATCTGGACAAAAAGAATGTTAAGCAAGATTAACCTCCATGGGCTACCAGTCCCATCCCAGCTCTGCCTCAGGTAGCATTTCCCCATTACTTAGTGCTTACCTCCAGTGTCATTTACTGCCAGCTTTTCTAACTCTGTCTTCTGTGGGTGCAAAATACCATTCGGCACCCAAACATTAAGCCATTTTCTAGACCTTATGATTCTCTGGGACATTTTTTTTTTGTCCTCTCCTCATCTATTACCTTTTGCTCTTCATTCTAGTAGCAGCATCAGGGCTGCACACTACAACAAGACCAAAAACACAGGAGTTGCTACTGTACCAACACCAGAACTGTGGCAGCTCCTGAAATAACAGCTGAAGACAAAGCACCAGGGTTTGAGAAACTCTCTTACTAACAAGAGATCTAGAGTATTTTTTTTAGCAAGGTTGTAAGAGTTAGCACAGAAGAGTACTCTGCTTAAATTTTCTGATGGCAGAGATTCATACAATTACGATTCTTTTATCTCATCATGCAGCTTGTACTTTAATTTGAATTCTTTCTCAAAGCAATCCCGATGATAAACGTGCCCGTTCTCTTCTTCTCCTCTGCTGCTTGAGAGCCGCAGAGTTCCAGGAGCGGAAACGTTTCATTAGCTGCCTGGGAAGGGCACACGGCGTGTGCGCAGTGGCACGTGCCCTGCCCCGGCCAGCAGCGGGCACGACCTGCTGTCCCAGCACTACCCTTGACAGCAGTTTAAAAAATGTGTAGCCTGTAAAACTTCCCGACAGACAAACTGTGACACTCTCTTCAACAAGTCCTGTGGAGAGGGGAGTGGATGCCGAGGGGCAAATAGGGTCCCCGCTTAGTGCGCTGCCCTGCGCGCCAGGAAAGCACCCGCGTCCTCTGTGGCTCTGCTCAGACAAGGGGAAGATTTTCAGGGATGAGAAGGAGAAACGGCTTAGCTTGAACTCCTGCAGTAAGCAACAGGGCAATCCTTTGCTCCCGCTTCCAGTACCACCAAGCAGAAGAGCGGGGGAGATCCACCACAACATTCCCCCCAGCCTGGAATAAAGGGCACCTCAGGTCTAAGAAGGCACCAAAAAAAAAAAAAAAAAAAGGAAAAAAAAGAGAGAAAGATGAAGAGTAGAAAATGAGGCAGGAGGAGGAAAAGCAGGGGAATGGGTGCCTAGCAAACACAACAAATATACAATGACGGGCTTGGAAGTGTAGTTAAGAGCTCCTAAAGGCAGTACAAAAGTCACCTTCAGCAATAAATGTTAGAGCGGAGGCAAAGGACACTGTTCAGTCACGGAACACGCAGCCTGCAGAAACCCGGCACAAATCCACCCCCCGCCTAATCCCGCACCATAATCCTTGTTGACTAATTCTGTGATTTAAGGGGTCTGACAATACTACGAAGCAATGCGGCCTCCTCTAACCGCACTTCCCGTTCTCCATAGCCCGGCAGCATGGAAAACAGATTCCCCGACACTTGTCCCTCCGCCGCTTGCAGGGGTGATCCCCTCCTCTGGGCCAGGGGATCTTCCCAGAGCTTCTCCCTACAAGGAGCCGGCAGCGACTCCGGGCGCTCTCAGCGCCGTCCCAGCCGCTTCAAAGCGGCTGCCGGGGCACCGGGGAGACACCACTTTTTTC